TGATAGAAAAAAGAGCATCTGCGTTTCTAACTCTTGGAGCATCCTCTTCTCTCTAGGCCTGAATTGTAAGAATGCTACAAGCATCCAATCATTTTTCTGTAGGAGAATTTCTGAAATTGCTATTGGATCTGTGTCAAGGATCCTAGTGAGATGCAATTAGATGAGGAATAAAAGAAGTTTATTAGCATGAGTCTACAAAAATATGGGCAGAATAAATCAAACTACAACAGCATGGGTGTGTATCTACACTTAAGCCTGAAAGAGGGGAGTGGAACATTTATGCAACCTGCAGAGGGCTATGGGGGAATGGCTACTGAGGAGGAGCAGACTTTCCTTTTAGGGCCCTCAGAGATACCACAGAAGTGATCTAGAGGTGCAGATGCCCTCACTGCATTCTCTGCCATGCCTAGAAATCTCCTCCTTCTCCTAGTGCTCTTCATTGATCAGATCCACCTGAAACTAGAGACCAAAGTTGTCTTGACATGGTCCTTCCATGCCAACCTCCCAAGAAGATAAGTGGTGGGGAAGGGTCTGGAGGAAACGGGAGCTAGTTCCTCAGTCATCTTTAAGATTAAGGACTTAATGTTTGGGCCACCTTTAAGATTAAGAATCAAAGCAGTAATTACTTTGTTTTTAATTGCTATAGTCATCAAAACATATTTAACTTGTTGAATCTATAATAGATGATGGCAGGTAGGTAGATGACTTTTGGTATGTAGAAAATTAGCAAACAGGACAAATGAAAATCATAGCTTTTCTTTCTCTCTCTCTCTCTCTTTCCTTCCTTCCCTTCCTTCCTTCCTTCCTTCCTTCCTTCCTTCCTTTTCCCCCTTCCTTCCTTCCCTCCTTCCCTCCCTTCCTTCCCTCCTTCCCTTCCTTCCCTCCTTCCCTTCCTTCCCTCCTCTCTCCTTATCTCTGTTTCTCTTTTTCTCTCTTTCTTTTCCTTTTTCTTTTTTTTGAGACAGGGTCTTCCCGTAGCCCCAGCTGTCCTGGAACTCATTATGTAGACCGGGCTGACATCAATTCCACAGAAATTTACTTGTCTTTTCCTCTTGAGTGCTGGGATTAAAGACATGTGCTACCACACTTGGCCTCAGATACATTTTTAAAATATTTATTTATTAATTTATTTTATTTTATGTGTATGAGTGTATTGCCTGCATGTATGTAAGTGCACCTGTGTTGTGCAGTGCCTGAGGACAGAAGAGGGCATCGGATCCTTTGGAACTGGAGTTAATGATGGCTGTTAGCCACCATGTGGGTGCTAAGAATTGAACCCAGGTCTCCTCCAAGAAGAGGCAGTGTTCTTAACCACTTAACCATCTCTCTACCCCACCCCCCAATACATTTTTATTCTAATAGTACAACTCTGGTGCTTCAGCCATTATTTACTTTGATTCCTCCTCTTTCCAACTCCTCCCAGCTCCCTTAGTTTATCTTCAGTCTATCATTTATAGACATGGCATGGGTTTTAATATAACTTCATAGTTTTGGGTGCTGATAACAACATGGCGTTGTAAAGTCTCTATCCTTTTAGTTATTCTGAGTAGTTCTATTTAAATTCAAATAAAGAAAAAGGTCTATACAAAACAAAAAAAATGTTTTTGTTATAAAAGCAACTCTAAGTAAATTTAGTCCTAGGTCAAAGAAAAAATAAACCAAAGCTAAATAAAACATGTGAATGTAAAGTCTTTCTCACTGCTATACAAAAAATTGCTTTGTTATCTAAGAATTTACTTATAGTAATGCCAATTCATACATATCAGTCCTCAGAAATGGAGTTCTTTTTGTTGGGGGAAGGTTAACACAGTATCTCATGTAGTCCAGGCTGGCTTCGAACTCATTCTGTAGTTGAGACCAGCCTTGAACTTCTGATCTTCCTGCTTCCATCTCCCAAATTCTGGAAGTATAGCTGTGTGTCACCATGCCCAGTTTAGTGATTTTTTTAAGTGGCATTTCTAAGTAGCTACATTGTACCATTTTACTACCAGTGCTTAAGAAAAAAGTAACACATTTAATGGAAATATTGCTGATGTATTTTGTAAACACAGACATTTTCAATATATATTTTATTGAATTTTTGCCCATTTCAAACAATACATCTTAATCATGCAGACCCCTCCCCTATCTGCACACCACCCCCCATAATCCACTCACTGGATTTCGTGCATTCTGTCATCCTTGTTAAGGCCTATCAGGTCAAGTTTCTGTCCCCAGATGTCCCTTGGTATGAGTTCATTCACTAGAGCCAGGTCGGCCTTTCTAGTATCACTCTCCTAAATAAGACCATCTCTCCCCTCACCAGGCAGTGATCAGTTGCAAATAGTTTCTCAGCTAAGGTTGGGGCCTTCTTGCCCATTTCCCCAGTTCTATGCTGGGTTTTTGTCTGATTGAGTTTGCATGGGTCTTGTGTATACTGGCACCATTGCTGTAAATTCATATGCGCAAGTTCCCAGAAGCCTGGAAAACTCTGTTTCCTTGTGATCATCCATAACCCCTGAACACAAATATTTAAAAAAATAGCACTGAGAAATTGTTTCATTTCCCTTGGTTACTCAGGGTCATTAATTAATGAACAATGCTGAATTGTTAACTCAGGGCTGCTGGGCTGGGAAGAGCCAACGGTTTCATTTCATCTTTGAGTGTTTGATCTTTGCTGCTTTTCTGTCCCCTTTGTTATCAATCCATCAAGAGTTGCTGACAGACCTCACCTTCCCATCCAATTTAGTGCATCTGATCTATTCTAGATGAAAATAAATAAGCACTAGGTATCTGTGAGCATAGAGACAGTACATTTTTTATTTTTGAGATTTCAGGGGACTGTTCCCTAGGAATGGAAGGGATTTGTATTGATAACTTGCAGGTCTGTGAGAACAGCACCTTATTTTCCCTTATCTTCTCAGCCGTAAAGAAAAAAATCTTGTAAATATTGTAATTAAAATATTCTTTTCAGATCTTCCTTGGATGTATGTGCTAGAGACAAGAGAACCAAAAAGGTACTGCCTCTGACAGTTTGCAAGATGCATGTTCTCTACTGCCAGGGGAGAAATTACACTCTTGCTGTTAAGGACAGCTGTACTCTGCCTGTCTCAGCTGAGAAAGCTTGTGGTGCTTGTCCACTGTGGGAAAAGTGTGATGGTAAGGAACATTTTATATCTGTAGGTATGGGAAAACTAAGGCGGGAGTACTGAGAGATTTAAACAATGTGGTTTCTAGTGTATCCGTGGCTCAAAGCAGGTAACTGGGGATGTCAAAGAATCTGATTGGGTTGACGGTGAACTGTCCCTTAGCTTCTATCCTTGGAAATGGAGGGGGTACTTAGGAGGGTTAGAATCCATTCCTGATTATCTAAATGTTCTCCCAAGTCTCGCTAGCTCTCATTTCACCTTCAAGGCTTTTATGCTCTGTCTGTATTATCCATATTATATACATATTTAAAAAAGACTTACAGAAAACCAACTTTAAAAAATGGAATCTTTATATTACATCCTTAAAAGGAAGTGTCATTGGGTTGATGAGATGGCTCAGTGGGCAAAGATGCTTGTTGCCAAGCCTGACAACCTGAATTTTATCCCTGGAATCCACATAGTGGAAGGTCGACTTCTCCAAGTTGTCCTCTGCCTGACCTTCACTCCTAAGTGTGTGTACACAAATAAATAAATAAATAAGAAACAAGGATCATTAACATATAGGTAACTATAGGTAACATATAGGCAAGATCAAGCAATGGTGTCAGCATGCACAAGCCCCTTGCAAACTCAATCAGACAAAAACCCAGTATAGAACTGGGAAAATGGGCTGAAGAACCATTGGCGACTGATTACTTCCAGGTGAGGGACAGTTGATCATCTTTATTAGATAGGCTGACTAGACTCCAGTGGATGAACTTGCACTGAGGGACGTCTAGGCTCATCGTTTATAGTAGGATGATGACACTTGTAACTCTAGCCCTGTCTGGCTCACTTTTGCTTTGGTAGTCTTTTAAAAATATTTTATTTATTATTTTTATTTTATGTGTATGCGTGAATTGCCTGCATGTAGGTAAGTGCACTCGTGTTGTGCAATGCCCACAGAGGACAGAAGAGGCTGTCGGATCCCCTGGAACTGGAGTTACAGACAGTTGTTAGCTGCTATGTGGGTGCTGGGATTTGAATCCAGATCTTCTGCAAGAACAGTCAGTGTTCTTAACTGCTGAGCCATCTCTCCAGCTCCAGCTTTGGTAGTCTTATGCTGACCCCATTACTTTCCCTCTGGAGATACCTGGGTGGTATATTTCAGTCATGCTTTTTTCCCATATTTCCTCCTTGTTTCTGGTTGGTTTTTACAAAATGCAGCCTTTAAATACCACACTTTCTCTCTCAAATTAAGTTTCATGTTTTCTTTGTGTCTGAGTTTTGACTTTCATTCTCTGCTGGGATCTTCTCATTTGGTCTGGGGTATGAAGGATTACATTTGATTTCTGGCTCATGTGGATGGCAACAGGTTTGAGGAAAGAGATGGAGAGCTCTGGACTTGGATGGAGCTGCCTCATATGGGTCTAACCAATAGAAAGCCTGGCGCTGATTTCAAAGCCCATTTATTTTGAATGGAGCAAAATGGCTCCATTTCCTAGTTCCGCTGCTCTCCCAGCAAATAGTTTATTGTATCGCTCAAGGCAGGAGCTCTCTAATCATGCCATTACTTTAGAGGTAATGTGCTTTGACTCTCCCACCTCCACAATGTGCCATTAAGCATCTCTCACTTGTTTTTTTCAGCTCAAAGCAGCAAATGTGTCTGCAAAGAAGCATCAGAGTGCCAGAAAGAAGGGTTTAGCATCTGTGTGGAAGTGAACGGCAAGGAGCAGACAATGTCTGAGTGCGAGGCAGGTGCCTTGAGATGCAGAGGGCAGAGCATCTCCATCACTGGCATAGAACCCTGTGCCACAGAAGCCCAGTAGGCTCCGGGGGGCCTTGGTCATCTTTGTTCAGAATCCAGTGGGAATCTGGTTCTAAGCTAAAGCATCTGCGTAACTGGGCACTTAGACCACTTTTCTAACACCAAGGCTATTCTTTCTCCTTCCTCTCTGAGCCCCTGTATTCTGCCGCTTGTGTAAACAAACCCTTTGTTTTCCTAAACCTGAGTCTCGTTTTCCTTCTTTTTCAAGTGACAGTGTGAAGAACCCTCATGAACCATGGCACAAGCTATTCGTGGGTTTTGGGAAAAATTCCCTGGTCTTTGACATTTTTTGTCTATAAAACTACAGGGTGGAAGTGGAGACACTTGCATTGTCCATTCATCCCTATAATTCTATTAAGTATGACTGACCTAGTCCATGGTCCAGAACACCCTCCTAATAATTGATTAGAAAAACAGAAAGAATGCAATTTTCTGATTAGAGGGGTTGGCTTTCCTCAATGAAATCAATTGCAAAATAAGACCTTGAAAAAAGACAGATACAATTATTTCCACCCTGAGTTGTAACGTCATGCTTCACCCTACGGAGTCCACCTCATATGTAGGGATCCCTATTCTTGTCAGAAGATTGAACCACTTAAATGTCAGAGCAGAATTCATCGTGCTCTGGTCACAGGGCATCGTCTGCCTTCTTGTCTGAGAACAAATACGATTCAGTCTCCTGAGAGTTTTTCTTTAGTATGTGTCAAATACAAGACCTGCTTTCACTCTGCTTTTGAAAGAGATATCAGTTTATGTTAGAACTATTGAGTGAGGCATATTTGAGAATAAACTTCCCTAATGTGGTTACACCCCTACCTAGATTTTTCAGAGGTATACAATTTGAAACACGGGGATTTGATTTATTTCTTATTCATATTTGATTAAAAAATTAAAAAAAAGTAACCGAGGGGGGTGAAGTGGGTAGGCTTTAGTAGAATTTAAAATATATATAAATACTATCTCTGTATTTTTCTGAGACTGATAAACACATTTCAAACAAACTTTAACTAAAATGATGAGTTAGAAAACTCATCCAAGATATTGTTCTTTAGACTTTGCTATGTGTATAGTGTTTGATTTTACAAATACTTCTGTGAGGAATGGTTAGTATGTTCTTTGCTGAAGTTTTATGTCTGATTCAAATTTAGCTTTTTATACCAAGATGTCCCTTGAGGATAGAGTAAATGTAATATATGGAAGTTACAAAGAGGTAGGTTCCAATGTATTGAAAGCAGTAACATTTAAACACGTTAACTGCATTTGTTAGAAGCTACTGTGGCTTTGATTTTTATCCTTCCTAGGTATGAGGATAGATTAAAGACCCCAGGCTTGGATGTGGACCCTGATAGGAAGAGCTAAACAGGGATTCATTTGGGAGGAGTGCTCTCAATGTCCTCCCAATATTTCCTCTATTTATTTAGGCTAATATGGAGTTAAATTTCAATGGATTGTGGGCACTTCTAATCTGAAACCCCAACCACAAATTCTTTAAAATTTTGAAACCTGCTGCATGATGCCACAGTGGAAAATTCCACACCTGACCTATTATGACAGATCATAATCAAAACACGGGTGCACTAAAATGTTGTATAACATGACTTCCAGGCTATATGAAGCATAAATGAATTCTGTCTTTAGATTTGGATCCCATCCCCCAGATATCTCACTATGTATATACAAATATTCTAAAATCCAGAAATGCCTGAAATGGGAAACCCTTCCCATCTAAGTATTTTGGATGACAGATATTTCACCTGTTGCACATTTAGTAGCTAAGACATTTGAGAAAGAAGCTCAGACAGAGCTACTAGAGGAAACGTAAAGGATTGGAGAATCATTGTGAAGGAGGGGAGCAGTGTATGTAGTTTGAGAAGTATTATCTTGAGACATATTTTATGTCCTTTTTTCCCCAAAACACTTATGATTAGTGATCTCTCTTCATGTCATATAGGGACATTCATTCATAATTATGTGTAGAAAATCAGGATTGCTGTAACAGGTCTGTAAAAAGAAAGTTACCTTTGACACTGAGTTATTAAATATGTTTTGAAAATTTTAAAATAAACTCTGCTAAGTCTGAAGTGGGGAAAGCTAAGGGAAAGCCATTTATGTCATGAATAAAAAAAATTGCGAAGAGAATAGAGAAACTGTAAGAGAAACTGTGAGAAGCCTCTCAGCCTTTCTTTTCCTCTGCCTCAGACCAAGTGAAGGTCACCTGAACTAGGGAAGGATGTAACCCAGAAGGATGAAAGTAGTGCTGAAGTTAAGGTTGCCTGGACCTAGGGAGAGAGGAGGAAATTGGTAGACTAGTTGTCACTAGCTTTAGAGAGCTTATGGAAAATAGGCCTTCACTCACTGTTTACATGGACATTGCAAGTTACTGACAGAGGTGCTGCCTTGGAAGATCTCCTGATAGCACCGGGGACTGCCTTCCTGCCACGTCTCACCCAGTTCCTAATAATGGATCAACAGAAGTGCTGCTCATCAATGCCATGAGGCTTCCTGAACCCCATTCAAACAGTTCTATATGTCATTTCTTACTCTCACATCTTTCCAGGATCCTTGTCATCATCTTGAAATTGAGGGAGAGGCATGGATATTCATATGGGTATGCTTGGGATATGGAATGGTAAGCAGGAAATACCTGATAAATGACCCTTACAACTCTGAGTTGTCTAGCAACTACCTAGGAGCTCCTCTCTAAGCTGGGTAGGTCATGGCTGATCTCAGCTTCATATGAGAGTTGTGAATATATCCAATTGTGGATCAGACACATGGAGTTGTAGGTTCTGGGCAGATGCTTTACCCAGTGTTCCCTGAAATGGCTTTATATGTGGCACATAAATCATTGCTAGTTTTCTATTGGGTTAAGATGTTTAAATCCTGCCAGGTGTGGTGAACACACCTTTAGTCCCAGCACTCAGGAGGCAGAGGCAGGTAGATTTCTGTGAGTTCAGGGCCAGCCTGGTCTACATAGTTCAAGGCCAGCCTAGTCTACATAGTGAGTTCCAGGTCAGCTGGGGCTACAGGGAGACCCTGTCTCAAAAAGATTGAA